TTATAAGTAATCCAACATAATAAATTACATCTTGAGTAATAAAAATCAATGTTAGTTCTTTTCATAAGAAATACAGTAACTACACTTTCTGATAAATGAATAAAATGAATCAATGTGCATGTTCTTTCTAAAGTTCGTTGTACATCTTTATACAAACATCTTGAAATTTTGCTATACATTTGAAAGTCGTAGATAAACAAAATTCTAATTACCCAATTGGGTTTGTCAGTCTTTCGTTACCCCTTGTTCCAACGTCACGGGCCGGTGAGTATAGGTTTGATAGTGAGGGATAGGGACGAAGAATCGGAGAACTTCCGGCGGATGAAAGTCCGTTAAATCCGGATCCAGATAGTCCAGACAAAGGCGAACTTTTATCAAGCATTCCACCCCCATTGTTGGCACTGAGGTTAGTGTAACCTGGAGAAGAACTTGTAGAAAACATTGACGAACCTATAGAAAACGTATTGTCCATCCATGGTCTCATAGTCGATGCAGAAGATGGCATAGAAGGGGAACCTAATTTTGAGAAATTTAAAGGAAGGTTTTGGTCTTTTCCGTTCGATACTTGGGAGGTAGTATTTGTGCATCCAGTATTAGAGGTCGCAACATGCGCAAGAGACCATATCCGGGGTCTTAGACCATCACCTCCATCCATATTGGAAGCATTCAAGGTTAGAGAAGTGTTTATGTCACTGAGACCAGAGTCACTGCTGTTAGAACACGGGGATTCTAGACGTTTATGGTCCATTATTGGTGGTTTAAGCTCTGTGGTAGACATCGAGGGGGCTGGCATACTGTCTACTACCCCAATAGGTGTCAGTGTGCTCATCATGCTATTTTTATCGCCAAAGACTGAATTATCCTCAATAACTGCATCCTGGTCATTTTTCACTTTCAAAATATCTGTAAAAGAAGAAGAAACGAGATTGTTAAACTATGTTAAGAAATGGGGAAAATTGTTGCAAATATTGCTATGAGTCCCCTTTCTCGACAATAGAAACCTATGAATAACATACACAAAGGAAATTAAAAGGGTGAAAATTCTTTTATTAACCGAACCCAAAATCCAATTTTATTTAATCTCATTTCACGTTAAGTGCATTTTAAAGAAATTGAAATTTGGAATTAAATAAAATTCAAGTGTTTTACAAATTTGTCCCCGATTAATCCACCTACAAGAATCGCACCTGCAGCAGATGAAACTAAATTGTCGTACGAGTTACTAATCCCCATAAAAGCCCAGGCCCAGACTGTGTCCCTTCGTGTGAGAGATTTTGAAGAGAAAAACGGCTCTCAACAATTCAAATTAACACAACACAGATGCTGCAGGATAATTCGATGTAAATATGCATGGATTTAATGCGTGTTTAATTTATTGTGAAGAGAGTGCGATTTTTGTTTCTTTTTAAAAGACACTTTGATTGTCATGATAATGCGCGTTGAAGTTTCCATGAAACTTTGTTACTAAATTAATACATGTAATCGTGAATGCATCGCTTTGCAATAAAAGACTCGTACAACAAATTTAAAAAGGCTAATTTTTATTTACAAATTAAGAAAAAAAATTTCTTTCTGTGATAGTTACATGTAATAATAATTGAAATCAAAAATCAAAAATGTCTTCTATTTGAAACGAGTTGCATATAAACAGCAGATAATTAAGGTTGAAAAATGTAATTTTTGAAAACGTATATATCTACTACATTTACATGCAAATTTGAAAAATCCTTTATCTAAAAATAATTTCAATTCATAATGCATTTAGATATTCATACAGCTATAGTATAATAACCCTGAAAACCAGAACAAGGTATCAAGTTATTTCGTTGTTTGTTTTTTGTGTGTGTCGTATTGTTTAAATGAACAACTCTCCTTTAAATTCTCTAGTCGATTTATTTAATGAATGAAATAATTTTATTGAAAATTTCTAGCTAGATAAGCTAGATACACTTCAACATGAGGAACTTCTGGGTGTGCTAATATTTCTATGGTATGAAAAATTATCGAGTTGGAAGAAAATGACTTTTGAGAGTTTCAATGCTTAGAAATAGAAGATGCGCCCTTTGAAGTAGAAGATTAAACAGTAAGCATTTTAAACAATTACGGACGGGAGACGCGGTGTCTTTCGGGACGTGTTAGCAGTTGTCGAACAGGCAGAGAGGCTCCAAACATCAAATGATGATTAATGTATCCTTTTACAACGACAGTCAATAACCATGTAATATATAATTCTTTTGTGGATAAAACATAATGCAAAATACAATTAATTTATGGCGGAAATACAAATAGTGAAACCAAGTCATAAACGGCCAGACAGAAAAAAGGACACGCGCTAATAGACCTGTCATGTTCTCCACGCACAATTTTTTGACAGTCACGTGACTTTAATGACGTCTACAAAAAAGCAACATTTGATTGAATTACGCTTTGCAAAAAATATAATTCCTAAAAAAAAATATTAATTGACAAAATTTGTGCTAGAACAGATATATCAGATAAATTTTAATACAGAATAAACCATAGCGGAATTAGAGATAATGGTATTTTTAACATTTTTAAGTGCAAATAATTTATCATATTCCATCAAAAAAGCAAAAGCTAAGATGCGTGTTTGGTGGCTATATCTTCTTTGGGTCAGGATTACGGGCGGGTAATCTGGCTTAATGTGGCTCACGAATGTTCCTAAGCCAGCAACCTTAAGGCCCACAGGAATGGTAAAATGTGTAATGCTATTACTGGGGGAAAATATGTGTTTACTATCGAGCATTTCATCATAAATGCTCGTGTGAGACCTTGTCCATCTCTAAAAGCGCATACCTTCTGATCCGCGATTACGAGCCCATTGACATTATAAATGTCCCTTTCGATTTGTGTTATTGATTTCAATTATAGCGGCTTATCCACGCACGAAATGGCGATATGAGCAAAAAAAGAAATTCAAATGCAGGGGAGATTAGTATCAAACGCATGAGTATTCCTTTCTAATACCCCAATGAAATCTCTCTTTTTTGAAACAACAGGCAGAGTAGGATATCAATCACAAATGCTGACATGGACTTTGGAAGACGCGTGCTGTAAGAAAAGAGAAAACTTAGATCCGCGTGCCATCCTTAGTTTTCCATAATTACAGGATTCCAGCTGACTGCTGAGTGTCAATTGATCGTCTGCTAACTACTTAGAGGTATTAAGGCATGACCATGGTTTTTAATAAAAAAGAAAATTACAGTATTCTATTTCATTTTATTTGTTCTCCTCGTTTTCATAGGAGGTTTGTTTACGAGCGACTGAAGAGCATGAACAGGGTGGCGAGTGTCGAAATTATGGAATGAAATCTGCTATGAAACGGACAACAATGCATTTGAATGTCAATAATGATAATTGTTCCTAGCTGGACGTCAAATATTAGTGAAAATTTCCAAGACAAGTGAACGAAAGTGTGGAGACGAAAAGGCGATGCACGCGCAGATAAAATTTGCAGCAGATGTAACATTGATGATATCGAAAAGAGCCGAAACTGTTTGTCGGATTTCTTGAAGTCCGAACGAAAGCCTCGGCAGATTATTAAATGCTGTGATTAAATTCTTATCGTATAACAACTGACAATCTTTGTTTTCTTTGATTAAATTAGTCGAGAAATACGATCAAATATTTGTTAGAGGTCTTATCGCCTAGAGTAATCCTCTGCATTCTGCACATATTATTTCAGGGGTCGATTCTTGAGAAGGATAGAGTTTACGTGGGAACCCGATAACGAGAGAATCCTGATCGCGTTATAGACTCCTTCGCCTGATACAAAGGTGACATCGCTTTGAAATTTCAAAGATTGCAACATTATAATCAGCTTTCGACATCAGAACCATTAATCTGGGTAGCAAATATTAATTTCAGTACTCGGAATCTGTTCTTATTTCTTCGATATCCACTCAGCATTCACAGAGCAAACAATATCTAGTTGTCATGTTTTAAAATATCAGCGATACATCATACAAATTCTGAAACACTTAGCCCAATCTCTGTGTTGTTTCAATTCGTGGTTTCCAGACTGAACTCTTTAATATGAGTCATTATCAAATCGTAAGAAAAACTGTTTATCACAATGAAAACGATCAGTCAACGTTTCAAATACCCATGTGCCAACTGTGTTTAGTTTGGGGTTTATATTTAGATGAAAGAAGTTCTACACACTTACCAAAACTGTCCTTTTCTTCATTAGGTTTTATGGGATCGTTGCTATTTTCGTCTGTCTTTCTTTTCTCATCTTCGTCATCGTCGTCGGCTTTGTCATTGCTGTTTTCATCGTCACCATCCCCACATCGGTTTCTTGGAGACCAAGTCATTTTATTCTCTTTTTTAAGTCGTCGTCTAGCATTTGCGAACCAGGTACTGACTTGGGTTAACGTCATTTTGGTGATAATGGCCAGCATTATTTTCTCCCCCTTTGTGGGGTAAGGGTTTTTTCGGTGCTCATAGAGCCAAGCTTTTAACGTATTTGTTGTCTCTCTTGTGGCGTTCTTTCGTCTGGCGGCTCCGTTCAGATCCATTCCGCCATAACTAATTTTGAAAAATGACAATAATACTTAGGGATAAGCGAGTGTTTCTAATAAAAACACTAGAGAAGATAGATTTTTAATCATACGAAATTCATTCATGTTTCTTGCACAATAATGTTTGAAATAATATGTTAACAACAAAAAATTTGGTAACTCTTGAGAAGCACTCTGGGAAGTTCATTGACAGCGTACTCCTTCCAAGAGTCAAAAAAGACTCTTCAGTGAAGGAGGAACGGAAAGTCAGGTGTTTTAAGTGAAATACTTACGCATTTCCGTAAGGATATGCCGCCATGGCGGGATCATAAGGATAACAGGCAGACGGCTGAGAAAGGCTCCGCCAAGCAGCATCCGAACCGTCCTTGAGGTCATATGGAGAATTCTGTAACGAGGTTTTCGTAAATGATTTAGTCCAATTGTGGTTTTCCTGCTTAGTGTAAAGAATATACTTATTTATTTCACGAAGACAAGCTGAATTAATAGAACATTTGTAAAATTATAAAGTTTAGATTGTTTTAAAATATTTTGACAGAGGAATTATTAGGTTTTTTATCAACCGAAACTGAAAAGGTAATTTGAAAGTTAAAAAAATGGCAGTTTTAGATGAAACAAATTGCAAAGTGTAAGATCTGCAAACTGCTTGATAGACATACAAATAAAGATTTTCTGAAAAAGATAATCTTTAAAAAAGATTTTTTTTTTTAATCCATGTTACATGTTGATTGCGTATATAATGTTTGTGAAAACATAAAAACTTGATATAACACAACATTGGTGATTGTTAAATTTTTAAATGCATGTAACACTTTTATTGAGCATTGATTTTATATTAGACAGTATACAATGAATATATCTTAGAAAGTCGGAAAATTAACCAAGTAGCTAAAGCACAAAATCTGTTAGGATGAGTGGATTTGATTTTTGGTAGATCTTTTGTAAAAGTTTTAATTTTGATTTTTTTTTCTCTATTTAATTTGAAGAATTTATTAAGCTGTTACATCTTGTAATGAGAAATTAAAAAAAAATAGCAAGTTAATTAATATTCTGCGAATATGGAGTACAACGGATTTTATCTTCGGTGTTTTGGTGTGTTTGTCTATACTTATTAATTGTTAAATGAAATAAAATGTATTTCATTTTTTAAATCCAAAGAAGAAATTATGTGTACGTTTTTAAATCATGTTTTGCTTTCTACTATGTAATATAAAAAAAATAATCCGTGTAGAGGATCAAATATTATTTCATTACATATTGGAATAGTTCTCGGACATCTATATAAATAATGGGGATCATTCACTCTTGATTATCTATTAATTATTCATTACAAATAAATATATTTACCAAAATATATTTATAACCGTAAGATGCCAGATTGACAAGGAAAATTGTAAAAAATGTATTACCCACAGGATGTAGATATTAATTAGAACATGTATAATATAATTAATACTTGTTAGCGGAAAGGCCGCGGGTCTTTGTTTACACATTTTCGACAAGAAATGTAATACAGTTTGTCAAAAAATAATAACCACATCCCTTGAAAGCTATCATTGAAACAAACTGTTTGAGCCGTTATCAACGAAGTTGTTCTCCGTATACATGTTTATTGCATATAGGTAATAACTTATGTACAACATAGATACGAAGGAACGGACCACCTAAGAAATATCAACTCAGAATGGTAAAAGGGTCGTGAAATGGGAAAATTTTTCTAGAGGATGAAAAGTTCATGATTTCAATTCAATTAAATCGCCTTTACAAGACGCCCATCTGTTTGCATGCCACTTCATAAATCTATAAATCGTTATCTTTAGCGCTCGCTACGAGGGGATTTGCGCTGTTAAAAAGCAAATTTGCAAACAATTATTATGTTCATATCGAATAAATCAAACATAAAATATACATGGCATGTTTAACATTTTTTTTTTACTGAATGATGAAAAAACAAGTAAAGATTCTGCTGTAAATTTTAAGAGATTCTGTTTCTCTATAGTTTAGAGACCTATATATGTTATCATACATATTGCCGTTGCATTGGTAAAAAGGCTTCATTCAGGGTATATACAGGAGAGAATGGAGAGAGAGGGGAAAGAGAGAAGAAAAAATCGTCAGAATCACACAGTTTGAATTCGCTAGTTTAATGGAACATGAAGAGAAAAATTATGAAAATTTTAAAAAGATAACATCTCAGACTTTGGCACCCCTTGATTTAAGCTTCCTGTTAAATAATCAACCATTTTCACACCATGAGAATTAAGAATGGAATAATTTAGTCTCCCCGATTTTCATGAATGAACATTTGCTGCGTTCCTGAGAAAGGTGAGTGGAAAGGTCCCGGATCAAGTAGGGAGGTGTCATTATCCCAGCACCGTACTAACGGAGAAGGGAGGAAGTTTGTCGCAGAAAATTAGTTAAAGATTTCAGGTACTTAGACCAATATTGCCGACTCAGTTATGGTGCTCTATAAATTTCTGCTAATCACCAAATGGAACCTGCTGTTTTTGGAGAGATTGGGGGAAATTGTGAACAAGATAGATTCTAATTGCCCAGTAGTTTGTGGATACTTCTCGATGGGTCCGCCGTCAAAAAGTCGCGGCTCACCCGATTTTTATCAAGCATCTCTTCGAATCAGACTTTATCTTACATTCCTGCCAGTTTTATTTATTTTTAAATATAACTTTTATTTCTTCTCAATAGGAATCGTTTGAAAAACAAGTTGATTGTTCTATCCATCTATTTTTATGACTAATTTAAATTGTATTTTTTTAAATGAACGCATGTCAGTGATCCTAAAACATTCAAAGGCTAATAGAGTGCACAGGGATTATGGTTTCTTGCAATTTGGTGTAGCTTACTATTTGGGAGGCAAAATTAATGATTAATAATTATTTGTTTTTATCATAGATACTGAGTACATTTACAATGAAACCGTTGAACCATTCCTTCTGTCGGTGATTCATTTGATTCTGTACTGCGCAGTAAAAAAAAAGTTCAAATTTATTCTGGCAAATATTTTCTTTTAATTCCCAAAATATTAAGGCACTTTCCGATTGGTAGAAAAAATTGATACGACATGAGTTTACAATTCAGCATTGATTAACTTCATTTACTGAAGAAGAGAAAAAATTATTTGCATTAAAAAAATGTTTATATGTGAATATATCCTTAGAAGATATTTGATATTAATTAAACAAAAGCATATGGAAAACGATTTCTTGACTTATTGTAAATCAATTAAAAGGTATTCTTAGATTCTGAACAACTAAAAATAAAATAACAAATTTTCAGAGAACTTAAATTACATCTAGATTTGAAGTGTAAGATTTGAATAAAAATTAAATAACACGGATTATTAAAAACAACTCTCTACATGAAGGAATATCTATCCATTTATGACAAACACTTCAAATTGTTTTAAATATTTTGAAGCAGTTGTTTAGCGAAAGTTGAAAAATTTCTAGGCACGGCGACTAATTTCTGTTCACAGGGAGATAACGCGGAACCCCGTGGAGTTCCGGAGAGGTAGAAAAAAGAGGCTATCCGATAGGCCTTATTTTCCCCAGCCTTATCGCTACATCGAAGCAAAATAGCCAACAAGTCGGGATATATCAATATTTTTTTTCATCAGCCATGGTCAGTAATCCGTCTGTGTATCTAGGAGGGTTCAACAAGAAATAGAACCGCTTACCAGTAAAAAAAAAATAATAAATAAAAATCTTAGTTGAAAATGTAAATCTGGAATAAATTGATTGATTTGTATAGTTTTGAATACTTAAATTAGAATTATAGATATATTACAAGATGTGGTTTGACAGAAATAAAACATTCTTTTTAGGAAGAAAAAGCTTTATCTTATGATTATTCCTTTTTTTTTCGCTGATAAATTCATATCCTTAAAGATTTTGGAGTACATTCATGTTTGCAAATAGATCTTTAAAAGTAAGAGAAAAGGGGGAAAAAATAGACATAAAACAATGTATTGGATTTTTTTCTTGATTTCGGTGTATAATTAAAGTTTTGTTTCTGACATCAATATCAAAACTTACTCATTTTTCGAAAAATTACATAAATCTTAATCCCCAGAAGCAATCTAAAAAAGAAAGTTATCGATTAAATCCACTAAAGAGATTAACCAGGGAATGATTGATGCATTCATTTACATCGCTATTGACGGTCGTGTGACCAAACCCCATTCTTGTTTACACTTTTATTTAGAAGACGCCGCGGGTATAAATGATCAAGATGGAAATGGGAAAGGGGTCTCGTCTTTTTAAAAAGACGGGGAAAAATCGCCTTGTCAAGTAATGACTTTTATAGTCAAGAATCTAAAATTATCGGGGGGTTGTTAGTGGTGTAGGACTTACCAGTGGGGAATAAAACGCTGAAGGGTCCGTCCCCAGGGGCATGTAGCTCTGTGAACCGTAGGGTCCGGCACTGTAGACTGAATCGGTGAGGGAGGGGACCCGGGAGTAGGCACTGAGGAGCCCGGATCCATATTGACAGGAGCATACCGTCTGTCCGGTGTGGGGGTCGGTCATTATGGGACGTCCATTCTCACAGCAGGACGTGGTTACGGAGGATAGCGTAGAAGTGGTGGGGGTCGACATTAGAATCTTAAAGCAAGAAAAAGAAATCATTTGTATTTCATTTCTGAAGACAATGTTTTAAAAATGATAATAAAGAAATTAAAATGAGTTTGATATATATGTAAACGCACAGGAATAAACTGTTAATAGAAAAATATAACTGCTGAATCAAAATTTCAAAATTTATTAATAGGACATGAATATAATATATATAGAAGTGATATGTACAAGATACAACCTTTTTAAAAATGGGTGTAATTTACATTAAACAAACATGTTTTTATTTACATTAATTTACACCCTGATAGAAAGATTAATCTGTTTTCTTTCAGAGTTTGTAAAATTTAAACAAAAACATTTTGAAAACATACAGCATATATGATTTTTATCAATATACCTTTTCAAACGTTTTACAAATGTAGCTTTATCAGATCCTGAGAGTATGCAAATAATTTACCCATTTAAATTTTACAACATGCATATATTAGTTTACAAATTTGAATGAATTATTTATAATATTTAAATACAATATTATATATCTTATTGATCAACGAATAAATATAACAAAAGATTTGATTAAATGAAGGGTTTTAAGTGGCTGAGATCAATTTTAAAGTAGTTTTTTAAATCTGTGTAATATTTAAACGAAAAATAGCATTTTAATTTTAACCATTTAATCTATTCATGTGTGTGGTATACCTTCAAAATATGTCTTGTTTCCTTATCATAACTATTAGATATATTAGTTCTCCATTTTAGGCATATAATGTTTCTTTTAAAGCTAAAAAAATTTCCTAGGCATGATTAAAAAATTGAAAAGTAAACTAAATTAAATGTGAAGATCACTTTTAGAAAATCTCTAATTTTCCCTATTTATTAAGCTTTTATTTCTGTTTTTAATTTGATGTACGTGTTCGTCTTCTAAAAATGACACTGTTCGTATACTTTTTATACAATATGAATGTCCAAAACAGATTGCTTTTCAAGTTATAGAGCTGTGGTTTTATGCATTAATAGGTGAATCACCAAAAAGCTCTGGTCGAGCTTTTCCCCGATATGGTTTACCAAAGCAATTAATAACAGGAAATAACGCTAATTAGTCGTAGAAGACCGTTATTAGAAAATCAAATATTCAATATTTATGGATAGTGCAAAAAAGCACCATCACTTAAACGTTTAAATTGATTGCCACTTCATACTATAAAATGCAAGCTTACCTGTGACGGAGAAGACAAAGTTGTGTTAGGGTAGTTGTATCCGAATTGAGGGAGGGACATCGCACACACACCCCACTTTCCCACAGATTATCGATAGACACTTCTATAAATTTTCCAGAAAAGAATAAAGTCAACGTGAAAAGTTTAAATCTCCTGGTCAGGCACTCAAAGAAATTTCACGGTCAACAAATATTCAAAAAAAAAATATTTGTGAAAATAAGTTTGCTGCTGTGAAATATACATCAACTGCAACGTGTATATTTCTGCTACCACATGTTCAATTGTGTAAACTAATATCCATGTATACTTCAGACCTGCGTATATTTTGCTATCTTATCACAATTCTACTATATTTACTTGTTTCGTCGATACTCGTGTTTCACAAGCGTTAAATATTCAACTAACATCTTACATGACAGCACTGTGTTAGAGACTTTTTTCTCGTGGGTTAAAAGAGCTGTAATACTATTGGTTAAAATTAATTTTTTGGCGATTTGTGATTGGCTGAGAATTGTGCGCGTGAGATATCTTTGTAATGGAAATCACTCCGCCTCAAGCCCCGCCTACAGGATAAATGGAATTTTTCAAAACATATTTACGAATTCTATATCATTATTTGTCAACGTTTATATTTTATAATTTTTATTTGTTATCAGAGAAAAAAATCCAAGAAATATTGAATAATATATATGTAAGTAATTTTTACACACACCAAAAAAAAAAATCCTTTTTATGTTTTTATCCTAGCAGAAGGAAACAAAGCAAATTACTACAAAAATAGTTTGTCCCTTGAAAAAATTAGCAAATTTATTTTAAAATGAAGTTGTGTTTATTGATTTAAAGTTGTGTTTAAAAGCACAATTAATAACAAGGCGATTATTCCAAGTATCACGGTTGTGAAACGGAAGGCGGAAATTTGAATTGATTTGCAATAATGTTAGTCAAAGCTTTTATGCCGTTTGCTATAGATTTAGACCAAGGAAAACGCTATCAAGTTCAAAGAAAATAATTGACAAATCCATTGCTTTCGTTATCTCTCCATCTATGTTCCAAGTTGCATTACAATCCATTAAACAAGATTTGATAAATAGAACGAGTTAGAAAGGTGTCATTATAGTTAATCTGGAATTTCATCAGCGGGGAAAACTGTTAGAATAATTTGTTCGAGAGAAGTAAAATATTTCTACATTGATTTTTGTCTCGTTGTTATAAAAAAAAAAGACGCTATCATATTCATTGAAAAATCAGTACGATCAATCTAACACGCTTTTTAAAAATATTCTAATGGTATTGACTATATTTTTGGCTATTTTTTTCTTTCACAACCAAATCGGATAGTATTAATTTCAGCGAGTCTCTAATTTAGGGAATTACAGTTGTTTATCAAAAGTTTGCTGGTTTGAAGAAATTGACTTACATTTAGTTAGATTCAGTTGTTTGTTTTCTCTCTCAAAAAAAAAAAAAAAAAAAGAAAGAAAAAAAAACCTAACCTGATAAAGTGTTAAGATTATTATCAAACGCTATATATATTAGAACTTAATTTCAAATAAAAACTGTTTGATTTGCAGCATTAACATAACATTTTCAAAAAATTAATCTGTCTTTAAAAAAAAAATCGATCAAGAAAGGAAATTATACTTCTGTTTATTTCGAATGAAAAAAATTCAATATCTCTACACCTATAAAGTTACAATGACAGTAAATAGCAATACACAAAATTTCCAGTAGCCATGAATGATCTAACCGACATGGAACTGTTTAGTATAATGACCGTGCCATCATATCACAAGACGCCAGTAATTAGATTAACGATTATCGGGAAAATAAATCAGCTCTGTTAACTCATTTCCAGATAACTCCGGCATGTGCAGGTTGTGTGTCAAGTGCGTTATCTCCCTTTTGGGGTCTGTAGGGGGCAGTGCTGCAAACTCTCGCTAAACTCACGGCCTCAATGCTAATCTCGTAATCATAGAACTACTGTCAGATCAAAGAATGTGCTTTTGGTTTATGTCTAAGGTAGAAGCATTTTCCTCCATATAAACTGTGAATCCACCGAGGATAGGAAAGTTTATATATAATGATTTGTATTGTCAAGATGTTCACAGTCTTAATGAAGTAAGACTATCTCTCCAGCGAAATGCAGAGAGTGAGAACGATACAGGGAATTTGAAGTTTACTTTTTACCGGCAAAAGTGCTATTAATATACATGTAGAGTACATTTTTAAAAAATAAAGCAGATAAATAGAGGAGGGAGAAAGAGAGAGAGAGAGGGAAAGAGTTCAGAGGTAAAATACAAAAAAAAAATGAATTATTCTTTTAAAAATTCAGCCTACCTTTCAATCGAGTGTTGTCGATACAATAAGCAGCAAATTAACAAAGTCTGACTAATCAACTCATACTCTTGAAACAAAAGCAAAAACAGCAATTCACTCTTGTTAAGTGCATCACTGTAAATAAGAGAAAAAGAAAAATCTTGTAGCTCTTGTTTGGACGTTTCCGAATTTAAACTTTGATTAGAGACAAACGTTAAGCATGTTCACGCAGTTGGTACAGGACTAGCATTCTGCACGAATCCCAACAGCAAGAAATACATTAACTGGCAATTGAATTAATTTTTGCGGGTTTTCAGATTTGATAATTCACAAATCAACATTCTTTTTTTTTTCAGAAATGGCAAAGGGTGCTTATCGTAAGCTTTTAAAAGAAAATGATACAAGATTATTTTCATTTTTAACGAAAGTTCTACAAATAAATTAAAAGAGTATCTCATAATTTTTTTCAACTTTTCAGAATTAAATATTTTATTTCATATTTTTTTTTAAAGGATATTGTTTTTTTAATTTATCAGTGTTATCATTTTTTAAAATCTTTGTTATTATTATTATTATTTTTTCAAATGTTTGGATTGAAATGCAATTTTGTTTGGTTGGTTGTTTGATAGGTTATTCTAATAATCAATTAATTTCTTTAATTTTTATTCATTCTTTCAATCATTTGCTACTATGTTTGTTCATTTATTTTTTATTATGGCGCATGATATGAAATGCTAAATATTGTGCCAAAATTTCTTAAAAGACTTTTCAACACTTGCACGGATGTACCGGGTGCTTATTACCCCCCCCCCCCTTCTCAATATCAGTATCAAAACAAAGTTGAAATAATACAGTTGAATGAATAGTGTAACTAACGATCAAAATCTTGGTAAAATGAACAAAAAATTATTTCACACTTTTAAAACTTTTATAAGACATGATCGGATGTAGATTGTCACGCCCCTTCTGTCACAGTTTCGGGATCATTCGCACACATTCACCTTTCACAAATAAAAAGCTAATTTAAAAATGTGTTAATGAATCACAAAGAACTAGTATTAATGGTTTATCTATGTTTTCACCAGATTTAATTGATGGGTCATCTGTAAACGGAAAAGGCCACGGCGACCAATCTCGGCATGATGCAATTAATAAGCTCGATTCCTTATGGCTTATTTTGTCCAATAATCTAAACATACTTTTGTGGGTAGCTAATTTTAATTGACAAAAACAGTTGTAATACTCTCTCTCTCTCTCTCTAATAATTTTTAAAAATAAGAAAATAGATAAGATTTATATTTTTTCATTCGGAATATTTTAATAACTTTATAAATCATGATTTAAAAAAAAGAAAAGAAAAACCTTCACGAAATTCAAAATTTGACGTCGACTGCTGTGCACTTCTCAATTACCCAAAAAAAGCTTCCAATGCAGTTCATAAAAGCCCCTACAGGAATTTGCTATCTAAACAAAAAATCAGCAAAGGTCTCTACATTCCAACCACAGTCCCCTAACAAAATAACAACAAATTATACATAATAAATATTGGTCTCTTTTACAATGTTCTCGACTCTCACCGACACCTGTAGTAAGAGACTTGTTGACATATCAAATTACTAAAAGTATGTACAAAAATACTTAAACTTTACTTGACCAAAACATTTATTTTTCTGATTTTGCTGCTCCACAAATATTCTAATGAAAGCCAAAACTTTTTTTTCATGAAAACTTTTTGCCAACCGAAGATTTTTAGAAAGTATTTAAGCTCCATTCAGATTTTTATACCATGTATCAACTTCTCGATATTATTGTCAATCATCGTTTTTTCTGTTTTCTTACAATGACAAGAGGTCATGTTTACAAGAGGCTATACAGTCGTTATGTTGTGCCCATTAAGAATAAAGAGGAACATATTTCTTCTCAGTACTAATTCATACCCTTCCGAATAAATTCATGATAATATATACTCAACTCCATTAATGAGAAATATTAGTAGACCCATTGAGTCAAGCAATGTCAGAATGTTTTAAATGTTTAAGGAACAGCAATACTCGGGTTAGTTTCTGAGGAAAATTTGTCCAACTTAAAACGTTATTTAATGAACTCACATAAAACCTATTAATGTATGGCCTTTTGTCACCGTATTATTTTTTTTTTCAGCAGTATCACTTAAAGTTGGAGTACAGGCCGTCCCTGCGGTTGAAAATCAGCTTGGGATGAATTCACATAGAACTATGTATAGAACAATAAAAACAATGATAGCGAAAGATTATATTTGACTCAACTGATATATAAGCATAAATATTTTTTTGTTGAAAAAAAAAATAGAAATTTGAAGTCATATTCTCTACACCTATGATGCAATACACCCTAACTGTATACTCCTTTAGATCATGTTTTCATAATGTAAATGTTTAAATAAATGTTTAATTTCAAATATTTGTGAAAATCTCTGAGAAAAATCCAAATCAGGAAAATCTAATATTTAACATATAATATTTTTTTTATTTTCATCAGGAAAGAAGTATATGTTTTCGTATTTATTTAAATGTTATCTGTATTTTAATATCTAATTAGATTTTTGACCTTTTTGCACCAAGACTCGTTTTTTGAAAGGATGCCGTTTCTAAGTATACGGGAAAATTACGTCTCTTTTAAAATAATAAATTTTAAATACGTTTGTCCTATTTATCACAAAAATGAAGTCTTGCCAAAGACTTTAGCCCAACAGACAAAAATGCACTTTACATACATTGTTGTAGACCGAACCTTTGTTTAATATCATCTCTGCACACTTGTAAAGCACACATCCAGGTTTTTTTTTTACCCATATTTTAAAAGCACCCTTTTCAATTATTTTGGTGGGAATATTACATCGAAATCTTTAAGACAATTGAGAAAATATAGTTAATTTTGGGGAAAAAAGTAAATCGCATACTGTAGGGGCAATTCGGTTTATACTATGACGTCATACGAATATGTCTTCACCCTCTCAGAATTTCAGTAGCTGAGAAAAATATGTATTCCTCAACAGAGTAGAAGTGGGACAGGAAGAGGGGTAAATACTTGAACA